GCTGTATAAGGATTGATATTTCCAAGATCCGAAACTGTGCGATCATATCTAGAGAGCTAGATTTTGTGCAAGCTGATTTACATTGGAATTCTTTACCTGCATTTTAAAAGAAAAAAGTTTTCAGAAAAAAGAATGATACAACTGATGCAAAAAAATGCAGTATTTACTTCCTTTACCCTTTTTGCATGGAACAGATTATTCCATGTGATTCGCCGTTTCAACATGTCCGTGTATCTTTTTTTCTGCATTTCTATACTACTGGATCAGTCCATTTATATTCTACGAAAGGGGTGAAACGCTCTTTTCGCGCCAAATGTCACTAGAAAGCTGTCTTCGCGCCTTTTCCTTGGATTGTTCTATTGTATGCAATGGGTGTGCTAACTTCCATGGAATTAAATAAAGTTTGTCCTTTTAACTTCCTTCTAATGCGTCAGAAATTCTGTCTACAAGTTTTATATCATTCTTTAAAACAACATATCGTAGACATCAGTATATGGATATGCAACACTATGAAATGATTTTTCTAATTTTTTTCCCGGTCCCGCTGTTGTTTTATTCCATAAATGGACTAGTCCAATAATAATAAACAACGCAGTTCAAGTGCATGATCTATTATATGTCTCTGTTCAGATGCACACAATTAAATAAGAAGCAGTGAAAACTCTGGGACTTTTCTTTCCACAAAGGCCTAAATATTGAATTTACTTATTTCATTCTCAATATATGATAGCATCTCCACAATCCCCCCCCCTTTAAAAAAAAAATAATGAACACGCATTACTACTGTTTACTTCAGAGGAGAAGAGAGAGAGAGAGAGAGAGAGAGAGAGAGAGCTCCACAAAAACATTCAATATAGATTTTTAATACAGAATGTAAAAAAAAAATTACAGTACATGTAACCTACCTTTTATATAAGAGAACTCATAAACTTTTAACTGAATTAGCTAATTCAGGCAGTTTTCAAATTTTGGTTACAACGATATAGCCATATCGCCAAGCAGTCTTTATACATTTATAGTATTAGTATCCATAATTGATTAACTGTATGGTAGCAATATCCGTCTAAGAAAAACAAGATGATATAGATGTCAATTAAACATTCTTTTTTTTCATACTGTGGTAACATTTTTTTCGCCATATAAGCAGCAACTGTAAAACAAAGAGCAGAAGAAACCCAAGTATGCTATCTAAAACTAACTTTGTAAAACAATCTTCGAGCTGCTTCATTAACTCTAAAAATAAATACAGAGTTTACAAAACATGTATTATAGCAATTGATATTGTTAGTGATTTAATAAAAATAAAAGTCTGTTTAAATACAATCACAAGGATATTTCTTTACAGGTAACTTTGTAGTAAATAAATGTACTTATAAATCAGCAACAACAGGAAGTGATTGAAGCACTAAATTAACATGGAAGATATTGATTCTTTAATGCAAGACAAATTTAATATGTTCTTTAAATGACAACTTTGAGATCGTGTATGTAGTATTTTATAAAAACTGGAAAAAGTTATAAAAGTTTTATTTGAAGAAACTGAGAGTGGAACAAGTTAACCAAACTAAAACACCTATGATCAAAGAAATTCGATGGAAATAAAATATATTAACCTTGATTTAAGCTTAAGGCCTAAAAACGACTACTTATAAAAGATTGAGTTTGTATTGATCTTTTCTGAAAGAAGCGGGTATTAGATCTTGTTTTAAAATACTAGTACGTAAAAACTACATATATGTTTTCGTTAGATTAATATGTTTTGAATCTGTGAATACTAGTATATGAAATATGAAAAACAACAAAAACAGATGCTTTAAGTTCATAAGAGAAAGCAGTAAAATACCAGCATGGAATATATGGAGATAACGAACAGTATTCAAGTCCAAAAGTCCATAAAACAATCAATAATATCAGAGGTGGGATCAGGTGTTATGGAGGAGTGAACATCCCCTGTCGACCGGCCACACCCGACGTGTGTTTCTTGTAATGATAAGAAAACCACAGAAATATCCGTCGACAATTCAATGTGTAAATTGGAGGGCTGTTCAATAAATAATGTCCTGAGTTCTATGACATACAAAATAGAAATCATATGACATTAAGCTTGACTTTCTTTCATGATCGAATCTTTAATGAATTGATTACAGTTGATGTGACCACTTTTCATCACATAGTTTTATTGTGAAAAGCTGGAAAACAAGGGCTATTCGAGACACTGCAATAAGAATGAATGGTAAAGAATCAGTAAACTAGAGTGAAATTAAACGCTTCATAAAAGCTGTTGTAAAACTCGTTAAGAATACTGCAACCAATGTCTGTTTTATAGTCACATGAGCAGGTGGATTTCAATGAACAAATATGATATAAAGGGCATCAAAAATGGGTACCGTCCTTGACGATGGGACTTACAACAACCAATGTACTGTGTGCCAAAATTCAACAAATTATCACTGACGAAGTTTGATTGACTTTTAGACACAACAAAATTAATGGGCATCATTTTGGGGGTAGTTTACACTATTTTAAAGAAACATTTGAGAGTAAAAAAGCTTAGTACTCAGTGGTCACCCTATGTTTTGAAAAATGAGTGAAAACAATAGCATGTAAGAATATCTAAAATTGTAGTTATCAAAGTTTGATTAAAAACAAATTGACAATAAGATGCACTTGACTAAAATAGCCAAGGTCTGAGAAGAGCAAAGAATTGCAAAAGTACAAAAATAGTTTTATATGCCATTTTCTTAGATTTTAGTGGTCTTGTTATTCAAATTCTTATTCGGGGAGGCAGTTCGATTTCTGGAAACGTCTAGAAAGCAAATTTTTGCAAAAAAATATATAATAAGCTTATGAGAGGATGGAACCAGAATAAGGAATCCACTACATTATATTTCTTCATGACAGCGTTCAAACCCACACGCCATGAAAAGTTACGGAGTTTTGGAGAAAAACAAATACTTAATATTTTGTCACACTAACACCATTCGCCAGATCTTTAACCCTATGACTTGTTTCATTCCCCAAACTTGAAAAAAGCACCTTTCAGAAAGAAGAAACAAGTCCAGGAAATCATAGGATCTGCCATATTCCACTATATGAAGGACCATACTCAAAAAATTGTTCTGAAACAGTCAGAAATTGGATATAAATGTAACGGACATGTGTTTTAATGAAAAGAGGATAATTATTTATTAAAGAGAAATAAAGACAATCATTGAAAAACGTTCTTTATTTCTTTCCGAGCACCAAGGACATTATTTATTGAACAGCCCTCGTAAAGACCTAACAATTAGTATGAAAAACGTCAGTCAGCATTTTACTCAATGATAAATTGTATTTTCTGACAAGGTCATTAAATTTTGATTATCTACGATAAAACTTACGAAATGATCACTTTAAACGAGAATGCTCATATTTTGTTTCCTTTTCAATAGCTATATTTAACTATAGTCTATTTTGTTAGGGAAAACTTGAAATATGATAAAGAAAATTTTTAAGAAAGAAAATGATTGTTTCCCCTCAGAAAAATATCATATCAAACCTAGGCATCATATATTCTAATAATATATTAGCATTCCCACTGGTACCATATGAAGCAGAATTTATTCAAAATTATACGCATTAAAGAAGAAGACAATTTCTGTGGCCTTCATTTCGATATTTAGATAAATTGACAACGTTTTATCAATTAACAATTATAGATAATTCATTAATTTGTGGAGTGGATATATCCCATATCCCAGTAAACTTGAAATAAAATATGGCATAGAATCTGAAGTCCTTGTATAAGGATATTTTCTACGAAAAAAAAAACATAACCCAGCAACAAAGCCTTATAATAAACGTAATAACATCAGCTTTTCAATCGTCGAGTTCCCTAACTTATGTAGCAATTCATATCACCTGCATATGGACTCGTTGACTCTCAGTTAATTCGATACACAAAAGTATGCTCTGCATATGAACAAAACTAAAAACAAATCAAGACATTGAAGAAAAAAAAACCAATTGATGAATCAAGAATATAAACACAGAATATAAAGTTCTCTGGAACCTTGTCATAAAATGTAATTTTTCATTTTAGTCAAAACTTAATGAAGATTTCATACTAATTGGTAGGCCCTTATTTATACACTGATTTTTGTGTTTCCCGATCATGACAAGGAGCACAAGCCGTTGTGACCTGTCGGCAGGTAATACCCACTATTCCACGACACCTGATTCCACCTCTGATGTTTTAAAAATCTGTGTTTTCTCTGTTCCTGATTTGTTTTTAATGGATTATTTTATGAGCTTGAATGCTGTTTGTTGTCTCGATATTTCATTTCCATTAAAGGAGAAAGTTCTATTTTCATAAGACAATATAGAATTACATGCAATGTTTTACATAATCTTGATATGTTATGTTATATTTTCAGTATCAAATATATTGCGAAGAAAAGTAAATATAACCAAATCACAAGTAGAATGACAGGAAAAAAGGCAGAGGAGTTAGATAGTCAGACAGAAAAAAAAAATTAAATTTAGACTTCTTTAAAACAGCAATGTTCTGTAGTCCAGATCTGCTGCTTCAAGATAATAGCTGCAGTTATCGAACCTGTAAAGTTTGTGCAAACATTTGTATTGTTAAGTCTTTTTTGGCGAGCTTAAAAACTGTTACTTTTCTTTGATATAGAGATAGTTTATGTCTTCTTTTAAGCAATATTAATCTCCACAAGATTTAGATAAAGATTTAGCTTTCATTGCTGCGTATTTATCTTGGTAAAAACATAAAAAAAAAAAATAAAAGATAGTTACTCTTGTTTGACTTTTAGGACTTAACCATATTTTCTATGGTTACCAAAGAAAACCAAACATCCTATAAATTTACAATCCAATTTGAAAAAAATAAATCAAACCATAATCCTTCGGCACCTTGAATTTATTTATATGCACGTTCTGAAAGGTAGCGGTTGCTTAACAAGTCAGTTGGCAATATTTTTTAAAGTATTTACTATCTTAATCTCAGTTGGTATATATAAGATGTGGAGCAAGTCATCGTTTTAATTCAAAGAAATCAGCGAAAGGTAAGTATAAATATATTCTTTTTCTTGTTTTTTTTTTTAAATTTAATGATGATTTTGCCGTTCCTTTTTATGGAGGTAGAAAGGGTACAATCATGAAAATGCAAGGAAAGATGGATATCAATTGATGAAAGGAAAGAAAATACGTGTCTCGGATTAAATCAATGATGTACATTTTTTATCATTATGTTTTGGTTTGCTGTCCTTATTTTGATACACTTCTCAATATATAAGAAAACACTTGCTGTGGCCTTCAACTCTACATTTAGACATATCACGACGTATTGTCAATTGACATTGGTAATTTCCATTCTTATTCGATACGATATATACTGGTGAGCTTGAAATAAAAAATACCACAGAGTCTGACACATCTGTTTCATATCTGGATATTTTACTTGAAAAAGACGTAAATGGTAATCTAACAACCAAGCTCTACGATAAACGTGATGAATTTAACTTTACAATCATCAGCTTCCCTTACTTATGCAGCAATATACCTTCATCGCCAGCATACGGTGTTTATATCTCTCAATTGATTCGATTCACAAGAGCATGCTCTACGTATGAACAATTTCTAAAACGAGATAAATTATTTACAAACAAGTTGATGAAAGGAGAATTGAAAAGTCTCGTTTAAAGTCATCATTTCGTAGGTTTTATTGTCGATACAATGACCTTGTCATAAAATACAATTTATCAGCGAGATAAATGCTGACGTTTTTCATACTAATTGTTAATTCATTATTTATACACTTAAGGCAGGACCTAATAGATAGGTCAAATTTTCCCTCAAATTCAATTTTTCTGAAACTTTGATATTTTGTTCTAGAATACAAAATCTCTCTTTACAAATAATATGAAAGAATGTCAACCACACATTTTTGCCCACATAGTTTGAAATATGGCCTGTCAGACCTCCGTAAGAATATTGTGAAATATGAAATGGGACTAGAGAATAAGCCTTATTTTAAAATTATCAATTGATCTATTGCAAATTTGCGCAATACTGCTTATAAAGATAACATTTTGTTACGTAAACGCAGTAAGTTACATTGATACTGGAAAATTTCAGTAAAATATTACCTGAAAATAAAACATACATAGCGTCGGAAATGACAATTCACCTGAAAATATCCTACACTTTAACTTTTCTTACGAAAAAATGTATATTTCAATTTTTACAAAAAATTAATAAAATGATTCAAATGGGTCAAAGAATAAAATGTGTAAAGAAAATTAAACCAGTGGTTTTAAATATTTTGGCGATTAAAAAATTTTCAATGGCAAAAAAACTTAACGATTCAGTAGATGACGTCACAATATTTGACCTTTGACCTCTTGGTATGACATTGAATTTATAGTACAAAATAAATGGAGACTCCTTATATATATGTTTCAAAATATCAGCTCTCTATTATTTATGGAACAAAAGTTACACTGCATTTAATAAAAGACTGTAACATGATTGTTTATTGCATTTAAATAGCGTAAACACTTTGTACAATGTGAGCTACCAAGTGAACAATGTATAGGATTCTCTGATTTTTTCACAAAATATGACAAAAACATGCCAAAACTTATTTTTCTTTCGGGGATCATTCATTGCTGTCAATACAGTTTATATCATTCTTTTTTCTCCATGAAATCAGTCAAAATAGAATACACAGGTGTTTGGTACTACCTTAATTGACGACGGATTTCCCGTTATTTCACAATCATGACAAGGAGCACACGGCGGGTGTGACCCGTCAGCAGGGGATGCTCACTCCTCCATGGCACCCGATTTCACCTCCGGTGTTTTAGATGTCCTTGTTTGCTCTGCTCCTTTTTTGTATTGTTTTATGGATTTTAAGCTTGGAAACTCTTCGTTATCTCCATATATTTCACGACTCTTTTATACCATTACATGTTTTATGAAATCATTTTTCATAAAAATGAAATATCTTTTCAGATGAATTCGTGCAAAAGTGGAATGCTCCTTGTTCTCGTGGTTATAGTAACATGCTTTCTAGGTACAATATTTAAAATGTATAGAAAATTTTGTTGTTTTATGACAATGTATCAATATTGAGGTTTTTTTTTTAACACAATATGAATTAGTTAGCATGTTAACGTTAACGGCTGTCCACTTAAACAGCTGATGACATTCTTTTACATGTTATTCTAACATTAATTTGTTTGTGAAAAAAGTGAGTGATTGCTTTTTATCGTAAACTTCTCTAATTTATGTCACAAGATACTCTTATCACCTGCATTTCTCCCTGTTGATTCGACAAGGGATGCATTATCCTTCCTGACACCTGAATTCTCTCCTCGTATTTTAAGACATCCATATATGGTCTGCTCCAACTGTAAATTGATTCAATGGTCTTTTGGGCTTGAATGATTATTTTTCAAAATCTCCATATTATAATTTTAAATATTTTTTTTAACATTTTGCTTATCCAAAAAATTTTAGTTACCCGAACCCCATTCCTTTTTTAAAAAGTGATATGGTCTCCTACAAGACCGATTATTTTGTTTGCTGAAAAAATACACTTTCTTTGATTGAAAGCAAGTCCTAGAAATATATATATATATATAGTCTTAAATTATCCGACGAAAATTTTCACACTTTAATAAATTGCCTCTAAATAAAATTTCACGGTTAAATGTCGAAGTGTCAAATCCAATTTGTTACATTATTGTATACTAAATGCTTAAAGAAATTTAAAAAAGATAAAATATTTTGAGAAAAAATTGAAAAAAATGAAGGGAGCCATTATAAATTTTGTAGCATAATTACCACGTAGGATCTGGAGACAATCTGATCAAATACTTGTGTTAAGTTAGATTTTATGAACACCCAATGTTTATTTATAGAATTCATATTTTTATTCAGAAGGGAACGAAGGGTCCAGCACGACCACCACTACTTCTACAACAACGACGTCGACTACAGCAATACCTGGAGGCCCAACCAGCAGAACCCCACCGCCTACTATTACCACAAGCCTACACCATAACAATCCCACTTCAAATACTAATAGTACCGGTCAGGGAGGAGCAGGTAGCAGACTGATGTTTTCCAAGTCGTCCCTCATCTTCATGTCTGTGATCGGAGTCTTTGTGATGAAATTTGTATGAGGACTATCGAGAAGCTACATATGTCTCTATAATGCCTCTTCTAGAATTGGATTGATATTTCTTTCCCTTTATTTATAACGCCCAATGACTTTTCCGAGGACTTTTGGATATACAAGTACAAGAACATCTATTTATAGTGTATATCTAATTGCTCATAAAAAGTGTATAAATACTTAATAAATACATTTATTTTTTCTGTACATAATTTTAGAAATAAACATAACTAAAGACATGCACATTTCATGCCAAATTTTCAACTAAAAATATTGTCCAAAAATTAGTATCGTAGAAAAAATACTGTTAAACAGTTTAAAGCTGCATGGACACAGATTTAAAGTAAATATTTTCTGTATAATGTCACAACATATATATTTTAATAGCATTTCACACAAAAATATATTAAAATTTTTATTTCATCTTAAAGTTATTAAAACCTTTTGGATGGGTTTGATTGACACATCCTTGTACTCTAACAATTTTTACTATAGGAAAAGTGGCAATCTTGTTGTGTATTAATGAAAAATATTAAAATCCATAATATTAATCCAGAAAAAATAATTATATTCAGAGATGAAAAGTTAGAAAGCAAAACCCCTTCACAAGTATTGTCATTCCGCGCTTAGTGTTGTGCACAGAGTTTAGCAAATTGATCACACCCGTGAAACATACAAAGTTTATGTAAACAGGGCTCGAACTCTGTTATTTTTTACGTTTACGATTCACCGGGGGCGTTAAATTGTTAAAGTCACCACAACTACAAGGATTGACAATATACTGTGTGTATGTTTTGATTTTGAACATTTCTACTCTGAATTTTTCTGGATTATAGTTTTAATATTTTTCATTTATACACAACAAGATTGCCACTATTGCCACTATTCCTAAGTATTAAGAATAAAAGTAAAATTTGTGAAAGTGCAAAGATGTGTCAATCAAACCCGTCTAAAAATTTGAAGTTTTAATAACTTTTAGATGAAACAAGATTTTTAATATATTTTTGTGTGAAATGCTATTAAAATACAGTGTATATGAGTCGTAATATTATACAGAAAACATAAACTTCAAATCTGTGTCCATGCACCTTTCGGAAAACTTCGATCTTTCAACTGGCGTTATATTATCTCAAAATTATGAATTCTGTGGAAGATAACGCCAGGCCATGGATCAAACATGATAAAAATTGAAAGGGAAATATGACATCCATCTTTCTTTCTGTGTTTGATAATTCAGAAGTTTAGAAAGATAGAGCTAACATGATCAGTATCTACTTACCCTAGTTAAAAAAGCAGGCAACAAAATTGTTTGTAAGGGTCTTTTAATTCTGAGGTGATAATCCAACTTATACCCAGGCTTCCGGGCTTTTCATTTAAAATTTCTTCAGGACTATCGAGACTTGTGCATAACTGATAGTCAATTATCAAAGAATACATGAATTGATGGAAATATTTTACTACATTAGCAGAGAAAAAAAAGAACCATAATGATATTTGTAAAAAATTATTTTTTTGAATAACAAGTTTTGAAGGGAAACATAATGGTGTATGTTTTCAAGCATACCAAAATATGCAAAATGAAATTGGAATTAAAAAAGAACAAAATGAATTTAACAGTCACGCTCTACGACAATTTTCACTTTTCAAATATCAACTTCCCTTTCTATGTAGCAATATACCCTTATCAACTGCATATGGGTTCTATGTTCTACATACAATATCTAATACGGGAAAATCTATTGACAAACACATTGATAAAACAAGGACATCAACATTCTCGTTTGGAGTAAACATTTCGCAAGTTTTCTGATCGATACAATGATCTTATTAGCAATGCATCTTAATATTAATTTAAATGCTGTCTGACATTTTAAAAAACCTATTGTTAGGTTATTTCTTACATCTTAAATTGTTTACGGATTTTCACGTTTTTTCCCAATCTTGACAAGGAGCTCGCGACTGGTGTGACCAGTTGGCAGGTGCAGGAGATGTCCACTCCTCCATTCACCTGATCCTCCTCTGCTATTTTTGGAGGTCTTTGTTTGCTCTGCTCCGGGTTTGTATTCCTAAAATAGAGTGTTAGATTGAATACTGTTGATCATTTTCCATATTTCATGAAAAAATGAATAAGACGATGTGTTTGTAAAGGAGATTTAGTTTTCTCTGTATATTGAGCTTAAAGAAAATTAATATTTATTAAGGCATGTAGCATCGTTTTTGAAAGTAAACATAAAATGTTCAAATTGTGAATAACTTATTAGTATAAAAATGAATGTGATGACAGTTTTAGTAGATTTCAACATTTTTTCCCTTTTAATGGATATTGAATCAAATTAATACCCTTTTTTGAGTTAATTTATCAAATATTATCATACCGTTGGTTAATGGAGATTTGGATTTCATTCGATTCCACTTACCACTTAGGAAAAAATACTGTGTAATTATTATTTCTGTTAAACTGATTTGTAATATATTTTGATTACTTCCTTTATCTGATTGATACAAGAGCTCACTGTGGGTGTCAATTGTTGATAGGGAATACTTAATCCTCCAAGGTACATATACCTTATTTCATTTTTGTTATTTCCCGAGGTTCGTATTTTTGTCATGTTCTTCTTTCTCGATAATTTTTAAGACATCTGGAGAGATATGTAAAGTTAGCTACTAGTAACTGGCTACTAGTAGCTGGCTACGAAAAGTAAGTAAAGTTGACTACTAGTAACTGGCCACTAGTAAATCACTTAAACCTTCTTGTACATTTTGTGTAAAATTATGCAAACTATGGATACAAATGTTGATATTCTTGAAGTAGGTGGATTTTTACATCGCTGATATCCACTGATATTGTTGATAAAAACAATGTCTTAGATTTCCACATGATCTGGCTCTGATTTCACCAAGATATCTATAGTGATAAACTCAGCTACTAGTACCTTTTGTGTAAAATTATGCTATTTTGGGATACAAATGTTGATATTCTTGAAGTAGCTGGATTTTTACATCCCTGATATACACTGATATTGCTGATAAAAAAAATCTCCAAGCTTTTCCACATGATCTCTCACTAAAGTTACCAAGATATCGTAAGAAATAAACTCAGCTACTAGTACCTTTTGTGTAAAATTGTGCAATATTGGGATAAAAATGTTGATATTATTGAAGTAGCTGGATTTTTACACCACTGATATCCACTAATAATGTTGATAAAAACAATCTCTTATCTTTTCCACATGATTTGGCACTGAAGTTACCAAGATATCTTCAGTAATAAACTCAGCTACCGGTACCGTTTGTGTAAAATTGTGCAATATTGGGATACAGCAATATCAGTGAATATCAGCGATGTAAAAATCCAGCTACTTAAAGAATATAAACATTTGTATCCTAAGTTTGCATAATTTTACACAAAAGGTACTAGAAGGTTCAACTCATTTACTAGTAGCCAGTTACTAGTAGCCAACTTTACTTACTTGTCGTAGCCAGTTACTAGTAGTCAACTTTACTTACTTCTTCTGTCCAGCTACTAGTAGCCAACTTTACCCACTTGTCGTAGCCAGCTACTAGTAGCCAGTTACTAATAGCCAACTTTACTTACTTCTATCCAGCTACTAGTAGAAAACTTTACCCACTTGTCGTAGCCAGTGAGGGATCTTTTTTTGTGCCAGCACATACTGTGACACCGGACAACAATTTATAGAGTTTCATCCGAAGGACCGGTCTCCACGTCCAACAATAGGATTCGAACCCGTGACGTAAGGACCACCTCCTTACTCTGCAACTGTAGAGCAGACGCGCTTTCCACTGTGCCGCGGTGAACATTCATCTTTGTACTTTATACACGTCATACAAATTTAGTGTTTATCTCAGAAAGAACTTATTGACTTCTAGGCATCATTACTATCCAATCCTGGAACCTTGAGATCGGTCCTTTGGATGAGACTGTTTAAACCGAGGTCCAGTATCGCAGTAGGTGTTGGCACGGAAAAGATCCCTACTGCTCAATAGCCATGAGTGCTGAGTACAGGACAAAAATTGCATCTCTCCACAGACAAGTGGTGGCGTCTCCATATGAGAGAAAAATTCTTGAGATCGACGTTACACAACAGACAAACAAAATATATCATTACTGTATCTTGAATTAAATTTTTTTTAAAAATTATGTTAGATAAATCTCGACTAAATCAAAATGAAGATGCCTTCAAAATTTTATATAACTATATTTTTTTTTAAAATGCCACTTGCCTTTATATATTAGACTGCTTGAATTAAAAAAGAATTAATATTTTTGTTTTTTAAGAGAATAATTTGATGTACTTCAGTACAAATCCTTTGTAAAATTTACATACCCTTAATGTTTCTTTATACAGCTATTATATTGTCAAGACAGAAGGAGGCCATTTAATCTCTAAGATTCCATATACAGGTGTAGCTTTTGTTTTAAATCAAAAATAGAATTAAATTTTTGTCACATATCCCAATATCAACACAAAAAAATAAGCATTATACAAGAATGTCGATCAAATTTCATCTCTTACTGCTACGATTTGCTTACATTCTGTATGTTTCTAAATTTATCTCAGATAAGTGCATATAAAAACATCAAGTGTATTTTATAAATTTTATTGTTGCGAAAATTGGACACGGCTGTTTATCCAGAGACACAAATTATGAAAAGCTATTGGTGACTCTGGCAACACAACAAAGCAAAGATTACATATCAAATATTCAAACTCAGGTTCAAAGTTTATAGTTCAAAGGTCAAAGTTCAAAAACAGAATTTCAAAAAGTTGTAAAAGTCTTGACCCTGGGAGGTGCAGAGGCAAGCACTTATTCATGTATATCTAAATCCAAAGTTTATTTTTCAACTTTCATGAGTTACATGACTGCATATAAGGACAGTTACTTAGTGCCGCTCGTTTACGCGCATCTCAGCTGGAAAGAAACGGACAGCAGTACTAGATTCTATAAATCCACATTATTATTTAATGTTTATGGTTAAAGGAAAGTTATTGGC